AAGACATACCCGCCGTCCTCTACGACCCAAACGGACCAACTCGGTCGCCGTCGCCAGCGCGGCAGTGCCCAACCGTGCCCCCGGACTGCCCGAGGACACGAACCCGTTCGGCGCTCATCCGGCCACCCCATCTCCCGGGCGGACCCTCCCTTCCGGATCGAATCGCCAAGCGTGGCGCGGGCCACCGGGCGCGAGACAATGGAACCTCCCGTCCAGCAGCGCGAACCCGGTGGCCGCCCACGACGATGGGACGTGCTGCGAAGCTCGCGGACCTATCTCCACCGCCGAGTCCCTCGAGGAGAAGAGGGCTCCACGCATCACCCGGCCCAGGCTCCTGCGTTCCACGTCCTCTGCGTCGAGGGCAGAGGAGGGGACGGAGAGCACGCCCGTCAACGCGTTGGACGCGCGGCGGGGTCGAAGGAGCAGCACGGAGCTAGCGCGGGCTCCGAAGGGGGGGGGGACCCGGGCGTACCTGGCTCGTGGCGGGTTTGCAGACGTAGCTTGAGGTACGGGGGGAGCCGGGGTCCAGATTGTCGAGGAGGAGGAGCCGGTTGCGGAGTCCCGAGGGATGGCGAAGGCCTCGGGCGACCGCAGGAAGGAGAGGCGGGTTTTGTCGACGAGAAGCCGGGTTCGACGAAGGGTCCTCAGGGCGGGATGGGGGGGAATGGAACTGGAGGTGCCGTTGAGGGGGCGTGTTGGTTGAAGAAGAAGCCGGAGAGGGGGGGAGGAGGATTCTGAGAGGTAGGGGAGATTGACGGGAGCGCCACTGTGTTTGAGACGCAGCGGCAGCGGAGGGGGAGGAGTTGGACGGGGAGCCTGGATGAGGGATTGGATGACCACTGGAGCTCGTTCGGGTGGAGAGGATGAGTGATCGGCCGAATGGCATAGGGGCTCGATGAGAGGGCAGTGTGGGGGTTGATGCGTCGGTAAAAACTTTTGGGTTGCTGTAAACAAAAAATGGTTTAAGAAGGGCTAAATTGCCGGATTGATACTAAAAAGTAGTACCTAATGACCAGATTTGTATTAAAATCATCACCGACAATAACAAGACGTTCAAAAATAAATTTTCCGGCCAACTCTTCCAGCGACCACTCATACAATATGTCACATGATGCTTATGCGGCATATTTATAATAACATGACGGCTGTATTTAACCTAATTCAAACCGTTATAGGAGTATTTTTTTTAATTAGTGTAAAAAGAAAAAAGGTTTTTTTTTTTAATTTGGGAGCTTCTTCTCTTTCTTCTATCAAATTAGGGTTCTCTGTTTCTTGAGAACATGGATTCCTTGAGCTCAAGCAATGAAGAACCATCAATTTGAAGAAAGGAGCTCCAAATTTTAAAAAATAATCCATCTTTTTTTAACCTAATTTAAAAATCACTCCTTCTAATGGGTTGAATGGGGCTAATAATAGTTGTCACGTCATCATAAACATGTTACCTAACCACATGCGCTAGATTATCTGAGTGGTCACCGGAAAAATGGCCGGAAAATTCATTTTTGGACCTATTTGTTTCATCGTGCAAATTTAGATACATTGTTATCGTTAGAGATAACTTTAATAACTTATTGGTCATGGCCCATGGGGTACTTCTTTTAGTGTCAATATAGTAATTTAGCCCAAAAAAAGAAAAAAGAAATAATCTTCTGGACAATCAAAATAATTTTTCAAATTGGACCAAGAAAAATATAGCCAAAAAATCTGATAGTGGAGTTCATTTTAAAGATTGAAAATAAAAATTAAAATATTACACAATAAACCTTCTGATTCGAATTTCACTTTCTAATTTATCTACCTATTTTGACATAAATATCAGTTTGTTTAAAAAGAAAACAGACTTATTAAACTTATGTTTTTAGTTTAATTTAGCATCCTATTAAATTTTGGTTTGCGAGAAGAGGAAAACAATTGGAAAATATTTTTGTATGCTGAAGAAGAAAGAACGAAGAGTATGATAGAAGAAAATAAAGCAAAATCGTCCTGTCTATCACAAATATATTCCAAAACTAACCGAAGAGCAAAATTTGTGGTAGAATTGATAGTGTTAATTGACAAATTTCAAGTTTAGAAAATTAATATTAGGCCCCCAAACTGAGGATTGATCAATTCATTTTAACATAGATTTAGTTGTTGCCGAAGCTGGACTTTGAGAGGAAGAAAATAGAGCAAAATTGTGCTATCCATCACAAATATAGTCCGAACTAACTGAAGAGCTAAATTTCTGATCGAATTGAAAGAACACAGAATCGTTTTGACATAAATATCAGTTTGTTTAAAAAGAACACAGACTTGTTAAACTTTTGTTTTCAGTTTTTACATCCCATTTGAATTTTGGTTCGCTAAAAGAGGAAACTAATTGGAAAATATTTTTTGTTTGCTATTGGAGAAGAACGAAGAGTATGAAGGAAGAAAAAAAAGCAAAATTGTCCCATCTATCACAAATATATTGCAGACTAACCGAAGAGCTAAATTTGTGGTAGAGTTGAAAGTGTTAATTGACAAATTTCAAGTTTAGAAAATTAATATGAGGCCCCCAAAACTGAGGATTGATCAATCCCTTTTAACATAGTACGATTTAGTTGTTGCCAAAGCTGGACTTTGAGAGGAAGAAAATTGAGCAAAATTGTCCTATCCATCACAAATATATTCTTGTTGGGGATTCAAGCTACTCGACCACACACGATTAAGAAAATAGAGCAAAATTGTCCCATCGGACGTTTAATGTATTGCTTACAAGATTAAGATTTTACATGTGTTACTCTTTTTAGTAATTTATGTTTGGTATATTAGTTCCATAACTGATTTTAAATAGTGATCATGAATATCGTTGCTTTAATTTTATGTTCTAAAGGAGAATTTTGGCTTCCTTTGAGTTAATTGAAGAATGCCTTGAGTAATAAGACCACACACGAGATAGTTCTGGTTTCAAAATGCGCACATTTCGTGTTAAGTCTAAGTCCTTACCTGTGAAGTTTAAGTCATTTCCTGTGAAGTTTAAGTCACGATGTATTAAGTGTAAATCATTTCATGTTAAGCCTAAATCATTTTCTATGAAGTTTAAATAAGTGTGTGTTAAGTCCAAGTTTTTTTCTGTAAAGTTTAATCAATTGTGTGGTAAGCCTAAGTCATTTCGTGTTAAGTCAAAGTCATTCCCTATGAATTTTAAGTCATTTGCTATGACGTTTTATTCATTTAGTGTTAAATCTAAGTTATTTACTGTTATGAATATGTTGTTGCCTGTTAAGTTATGTTGTACGCTAATGTTATAAAGTTGTGATTTTGTGAGAAGTGGACAAAGAAACCCTATAAAATAGTGAAAAGAGAAAATAAATAAAATGTCATATAATTGTTATCAACTACGCTCCAGAAAACTGAGTAAATATATTCTTTCTGGAATTAAGTAAAATATATGCTTTCATGATCTTCCTGTTAAGGTTACCTTATTCCTTAATAATATTAATTCATTTTTTGTTAAGGTTACCACAATTTAGGTTAGGTCATTTTCTATGAAGTTTAAGTCCTTGCATATTAAATCTAAGTTATTTTGTGTTAAGTCTGAGTCATTTTCTGTAAAATTTAATCATTTTCTATAATGTTTAAGTCATTTCGTGTTAAGTCTAAGTCATTTTCTGTGAAGTTTAGGTCCTTGTGTGTTAAATCTAAGTCATTTAGTGTTAAATCTAAGTCCTTTCTTGTGAATTTTAATTATTTTTTGTAATGTTTAAGTCATTTTGTATTAAGTCTAACTTATTTTTTGTGAAGTTTAAGTCCTTGCATGTTAAATCTAAATCATTTAGTATTAAGTCTAAGACATTCACTGTGAATTTTAAGCCACTTCTTGTGAAATTTAAGTCATTTCGTGTTAATTCTAAGTCATTTCCTTTTATGGATATATTGTATGTTATAAAGTTGTGTTTTTTGCAGAAGGAGGTGGACAAAGAAGCAGTAGGAAAAAGCAATGAGGTCTGCATGATATTTTTTTTATACACATGACCTATTATTATCACAGACTAGGAAACTAAATCTCTCTTTAGCATTTTATCAAACACTTTATAAGGAATATTCAAATCACCACATATCATATACCTGAAAGAAATTATGTAGGAGACAGAAGAGAAAGTCGTAGATGGTTTTGAGGAGATGATGATCCCATCCATTATGCGGGAGAGTTTAAAGGAGGAGAGGGGGTGGTCAAGGGAGGAGAAGATGGTGGCGAGCTCTGAGGTGCAGATCTTGTCGTTGTCATTAGAGTCAAACTTGTTGAAGATGTGCTCGAGGTCGATGATGGCGGAGGGGGAGGTGGAGAGGGGGGAAGCAGGGATAATGACAGAGGGGGAGGCAGGAAAGGGAGACGACGGGGTTGGAGGAGGAGAGGAGGAAGAGATGAGGAAGAGGGAGAGAGGAGGAAGGTTAGCTTAATATTAGGAGAGAGGAAGAATATAGGAGAGGAAGAAGGAGCAATCATGAAGGTTAGTGTTAGGAGAGAGAAGGGAGCAGATGATAGAGAAGCTACAATGTTAGCCATGGCGCTGACAAGTATTTAGAAAGAGAGAGGAAAATTCTCAATTGGATTTGATATTCGAGAGAGAGAGAGAGAGAGAGAGAGAGAGAGAGAGAGAGAGAGAGAGAGAGAGAGAGAGAGAGATCTACCAAGAGAGAGAGAGAGAGAGAGAGAGAGAGAGAGAGAGAGAGAGAGAGAGAGATCTACCAAGGAGGGGTAATTTAGGGATTTGTGAAAAATACAATATACACAATGTATACTCCTGAGTTGGAAGGGCTAAATCACATTTTTTTGGGGTTTTGGGGGCTTTTACACATGGGAGAAAGGCTGAAGGGGATGCTCACATGAGTTTCTTGAAGTTAGGGCCTGCATGCTTACAATTTTCCCAATACAAAATAAACCAGATGGAATTTCTAACTATTAGGGTTTTATATGGGGGAATGCTTTGTTCCTTCAGCAAGAAAATAGCGAAGTTAATAAAAATTTAAGCATCAAAACCTTTAGGTGTTTAAGGACGCATTTGGGTAATTTTTTTAAAGGTGAAAAGCTGACATTTTTGGGTGAAAAGCTGATATTTTCTGATAAAATGTCAGCTTTCCACTCTTAAAACCTCTCAAAAACAACAAAACAAACAGCCCCTAAGTGTTGCAAAACACAATTCAGTATATTTAAGTGGTAAACTTGGTACTATTTAAGTGACATTTGTCCATATTATTTATTTCGGGAAAAAGTGCAAAGTGGAAAAAGACAAAAGACAAAAGAAAAAAGAAAAAAGGGAATCAATTCGCAAATAATTATTTACACAGAGCACCCCCACAAAGAAAATCCCGGAGGCAGAAAAAGGCCAGGGGGTTTTTACACTCGTCGCAGCTTCTAGTTGAAAATATGCAGTCGATGCGAAGAAGGGTTTTCCAAGCTCTTCTCGCTCGATCACCGTCTTCTCCTTCTCATCCTCCTCCTTCAATCTCAGCCAATGAGGCTCTGCCACGTGGAACCCTGGCCTCCCCCTGGATCGCCGTCCAAACTCGCGGGTGCAAGGTTCACGGCTCAGATGTAATATAATTCTTTCGCATTAGATCTCTGTTTGTATTTGAAAGTTTGATTATTATTATTTTTTTGCTTGATAGATTGATTATTTGCATAATTTTTGGTTTTTAGAGGTTTAATCGCAGAAACCCTAATAAAAACTGTTTCTAAATGGTGGTTGGTTTGTAGGATTTACTGGATCAAAGGAATTGTTGAAGAAAAAAATCCAATTTTTTATTGATTAATTGAAATTATCCGGATGATTACTTCTTTTCGCCCAGAAAAAGTTTATCTATTTATTTCCTTTTAGCTGCATGAATATTACAATTGTTCAAGAGTTTGACGGATCGAGATGTATAGCCTTAAAAAAGTTTTCTCGGAATGGTGCAGGTGAGACCAGGGAATGTTATAGAACGAAATGGTATTCTGCTTCATTCACACTTAACAATTATCCTTTGCTTCTTCATGAATTACTAATTTGATACTTCTATTTATCGGGGGTTTTCCCCCCGCCTTTGTCAATTGAAGGACGTTTATACCAGGTACGTATCAAACATCTATCTCCAGCATTTCTAATGGTTTTAAATGATTATATACATTGGCGCTTGCTTGAATTTTCATAGGTGCTGAAAGCCCAGCACACTCAACAGGGAAGGGGAGGGGCCACCATTCAGGTTATTATCATTATCATTATTATGATTATTTATATAAATGTGGATAGATTTTTTGTGCTATTTTGTGTTTTCCTTATTTTGATGTTAACATTTATTCATTTGTTGTTATGTTTATGGTTACTTGAATTTTATTTTCCCTGTTAGGCGGAACTTAGGGATGTTGACACTGGTAACAAAACAAATTCAAGATTTCGGACCGACGAATCTATTGAGAGTAAGCTTCTTGAACTCTGAACTTTCGTGGAATTTTTTAACTTAATTCTCTGATGATTTCGTTAATGTTATCTCTTGTTCCATACTCAATGAATCCTTGTCTTTTAAGTTGATTAGGAATTAGACAGGACTAGTCATGCTTTATGCCTATAGCTGGTATCTAAATAACAATTTCGGGTGAGACTTGAGAAACAAATGGCAGTAGGGAAATGTATAGCTCGCTGTGTAACTTTGTCTTATGTGTGTTGATTTATGCTAAGTTTGTTAATTTCCAGTTTGTGGGATATAATTGATGGGGTTTTATCTCTATATTGTGTGAACGTTATTATGGATTAGAATGCAGGACAATTAAAAAGCACCATTTGCAAAAACACGAGTTCAGTAGAGCTGGAATGTTATGATGATCTTGTGGATATAAACAAAGAGATAAGTTAAGAAACGAGTGCATTCTTAGGAGGTTAGAGATTGCTCCTATTGAGGATAAAATAAAATAGTATCAATTGAGATGCTTTGCTTATGTACAATGAAGGCTACTAAATGCACCAGTTAGGAGAGTGATAAGATTACAGTTAACAAAGCAAAGAGGACTAGAGGTAAACCTAAAAGAGTTTAAGTGGAAGTAATCAAGCAGGATATGTTAATAGTTAAGTTTAGGTGAGGAAAACCCATAATAGAACTAAATGGAAGAGCCCGGAATTTTGGTATATAGGCTTTGTTGTTGTTGCTGCTGCTTGTAATCATCAGTGAGCTCATGTATGATGTCTAGATTTATGGGCTTCAACTATATCAACTTGAAATGTTTCATTAAGTGTTAGTTAACAACAACCAATAATCTTGGATGAAGTTCGCAGTTTCTGTGGCTGGTCCTACATGGTTGTATATTGTCTTTTCACTGTTGAATCAGAGGCAGTGTGTTAAGAAGAAGTGGCTGCTGCTATCCTGCTCATGTTTAAGTGCACTTATGAAAAGCATCATTGCGTTAAATTGCCACCGTTGTCTCCATACAGTTGTCTTTGCTATTCCGCTATTTGGACAAGCTTTCTTATGAGTTACTTACTCTATGCTGCAGAAGTTTTTGTTGAACAAAAGTCTTTCTCATTTCTTTATCAAGATGGTGACAATGTTGTGTTAATGGAGTGAGTATTTTTAAAAAAAGAAATCGTTTCATTTGTTTTGGTTTCTGCAAAGATCAATTTCTTCTATGCAAATATGCTTATGCTTGAACCTTATTTTTTTCATTACTATGCCAGGCCTAATACATTTGAGCAAGTTGAAGTGTCAAGGGAATTATTTGGGAACGCTGCTGTCTACCTGAAAGGTATTATTTACATAAGCTTATGGGAAACACCCTCCCTGTAAATGCCCATATGCAGTATTGTAATCAAAGCACCTAGTTTGACTGACATCTCTGTAGATATTTAAACCTTTTCATTCATAATCACCATAAGATTAAGATTTATGTCTGCCGTTGAATGTTCTTAAACAAGTCCAATCACTGCTTAATATGAAATGCATGACCACATAAGTTTAATGGTGAACACAATATTATTTAATTTCTCAGCAGAGTCAAAGCTGAAGCTTCATTATATTTGTTGTTCATATGGTAACTTGGGGAACTTTCGGGATATAACGATGATACTAACTATTGGTTAATGTCTCGATCTTCATTTAGAAATAGTCTTCATTACTACTTGAGACAACTATGGAGTACTAATGATAACATGCGCAGCAAACTTGCATGCATGCGCATGTGTACCCGCATGCACACACAAGCACACCCGTATGCACGTGTAGGTGCACCCGCACACCGACGCACACGCAGAGGGATGTATGCATGTATTAAGAATTGAAAAACATGCATTTGCTAGGCACAAACACATTCATCTACGTATTTGTCACTATAACCAAAACCTAAACATAAATGTAAATCTTAAAAAAATTATCAACTGCTAAATCCTACCGACATCCGTCGGCTTATAGCCAAACTAGAAGCCGAATCCTCAAACATTAGAATTAAGATGCTATCCTTTCATTATGATTCGATATTTAACTTTGCTTATTCCTATTAGCTTAGTTATGAAACTTTTGATCAGTTGTTATTTTTTGTTATTGTGATTTTATGCTCTTTCATGTTAACTTAAGCATGGAACTTTTATCCGTGGATATTTTTTGTTATTGTCAATGTATTCTCCTCTTTTGGCTAAAAGTTCTGCATGTTCTGTTTCCCCCATTCATATCCAAATCTTCTCTCTTCTCAAGGAGTCATTTCTCTTTCCATTAAACTAATTATTCTGCATTGAATTCTTGAAGTTCTCGGGTCTCCTGCTTCTAGCAGTCCTTTCCTGTGCCTCGTATATTTCTGAATCGGTGATCCATCTGAAGTACTGAAGACTGTATTCAATGAAGCACACCTTGAGGATATTTTTTTTAAACTATCTTGCACAGGAGATTTCCTAAGCCAGTTAAAAAGGAAAAAACATCACAAGGATGATTGATGAGCATCTGTCTGTGATTGCTTATGACCATTTGAAGTAAATTTTAGGGGTTCTCATGGAAGATGAATAACTTGAAGATAAAAAAAAAAAAGTTTTTGGTACAACTTTGTGGAATTGTAGCGTTGGACAAGATACACGATGCCAAAAGAAGACCATGGTTGGCCTGTGCATTCATTTTTGAAGAAATAAAATTGAGAATCATGATGCTGCAATCCAATTCTTGCTATTTGACTATATGATTGAGATATTTAAGTCCATTGGATTTTAGTTTTTCTATTTGGTATGGAAAATCTACTGCTAAGGCATGTAACACTAATTAATTTCAGTTTTTCTGTTTCGTATGGAAAAATCTACTGCTAAGGCATGTAACACTAGTTCTAATATTTTGGAAACCTAATTTTGAAAATCCTTGAGGCCATATTCACATGTTTTGTGATTAAACTACTATTGTGCTGACTCACCTGAATAAAGTTGCAACTGTATTTGGAAATCCACAGATATATCAAAAGGAAACATTTTGGCATTGCCAATAGTAAAAAAACATCATTTATTTTTTATTATAGGTTATCAAACAGACTGGCTGTGCATATACATGAATTTGGATAATATCAGTTGATTTATGAGGCCTTAGTTTTGCGTGTTGTTTTGGGGTCCAAGCTTATATTTTTGCTTTATAGAGGACGTACCAGTGATGTTACACATGTATGATGAAAGAGTAATGTCTGCAACAATTCCCCCGAAGGTGACATGCACTGTTGCTGATGCACAGACCACAGCCAAGGGGCTAACAGCCACACCTCAGTAAGTCCAACATGCTTTTCATTATTCTTTTATTTAAGTATTTATTTGGTTATGATAAATTTGGACAGTTCTGCTATGTTTTCGTTTGTTTATATGCCCTGTAACTGTCACAATTCATTAAATAGTGCCTTCATTTACTAATCCATTCAGTTTTCATGTAAGATGTGTGTCAGGATCCTGAGATCACCAGTGTAACATCTGCTAGTTTTTGTGACATGAAAGTGGTATTTTTTTTAATATATGCTAAGTTTGTTAGGCAATTTCTTGATTATTTTGGGGTTACCATGAGGTTGAAGTCGAGCTTTATGTGTATTTATGGTTTATGGTCTGAAAAATTGCAGCAAGAACAAATCATTGGGGATGACAAGTATCATCAAATCTTAGAGTAATTGTCAGCTCTAGGTTTATTAGGTGTAAAGGATTACGAATGGTGATGCTTTGAATGGATAATACCATTTCATGGAAAAATAAGAAGAAATAAAACATGCATCCTATCAATTAACAATTTAACATGTTACCTATTATGATATCTCTTTGGCTGTCAGACTTTGCTACCTATTAAACTTTTTTTTTTGCATCTTTTTCGAAACTTCAGGTACAAGAAGGTTGTACTGGAAAATGGACTCACTGTTTCAGTAAGTAAAATATCCTTTGTGTAATTATCATTATAAATATCCTTTTTCCTTCACAATTTTTTAGATATTTTCTGTCTGTTTTTGTTATATACAAAGGAAAATGATAATGAAAATTGTTGTCGTTAAGATAAACTTTGTGAAAGTTCATTGATCAGTTGTTTTATGTAGATGTAACAATACAGTTGTTAATACAACAAACAAAACTTGTACAAACAAAATTTTAAATCTTTGGAGTTGGCTACGCGATTCACCTTTATCAACTTTATCAAGGGCGATAACCTCAAATATCGTAATGTGTTTACACTGTAACCTCAGCTTTCAACTATGATTTAAAACTTATTTTGTACTAACTGCTGGGTATTGCTCTCCATTCTACATGCCTAATACCATCCCACAAATTTTCTCTGATCTTAGTCCTTGCCAAGGTTTTGCAAATGTGGAGTTGTCCTATTGTTTCTTTTTTCCTTTTGTTTTTCTGACCAGATACTCTCAACGTCTTGATTTACAAACATCTGTCATAATATTTCATATTAGTTATTTGGTTAGTGGTCAACCTAGGAGATCAAATCAACAGAATGGGTTAATAGTCATGAAACTCTATTTGACAAAAAAAGTGCATCATTAATGAAGCCATAGGTTTTAACTTTTAAAATGAGTCCTTTTTAAGTTTTATCTCCCCTGCTCAATATGCAACATACCCACACGTTATTTCCCTTAACAAATCCAACAATGACCTGATTGTACTAGTTTCCACTAACCCAACTGTATGTGAAATGCTGCCCTACAAAATCCACATTGGTTTTGCTCCATTTGCAGATAAGTCCTTACTTCCTTTTTTTTTGGAAACAGCCAAATTTTGTTAATCACACCCTATTTGTGGCGTTGTTTTCTTCTTCTTTTTAGACTAATTGCAATCTTTGGTGTGTTTTTTTGACTTGTGAAACAGGTATTTGCATACTTTTGGTCATTAGTGAGTCTCTGAAACCTTATGTGTCACACTCATAGGTATCTATGATACAGTTATTCCCATGAACTTAGAAATTTACAGTACATAACAATTTTTTTAGAATCAGTAGGCCTTTCAAGAATTATTTGACCCACTTTGTCGTGTATCATAATTTTGGAGTCACTAAAATCTCATTCTCTCGTCTTGTTGCGATTGACTGTATATGTATATTTTTTTGACAGACATTTATCTGGTAGCATATGCCACATCTTAATTGCTTCATTTTTCACTAAATGTGTACTGTGATTGTAACTTCACTTTCAATCCTTTATGCCTCCTGATGATGTGTTTTAGCCTACTTTTGGGCATACATTTCTGTGAAAATTTGAACAGAGTGTTGAGTTTTACCTTTTATTTCATTCTCTACCAACTTTTGCAGGCACCCCAATTCATTAAACCCGGTGATCAGATCGTCGTCAATACTATGGATGACTCTTATGTCACTAGGTGAGCTATTTTTCACTGTTGAGCCAAGAAAGTTGTATTTACTAATATCGGTATATCACCATATCAATATTTATCAAGTTGTGATGAGCTCTGGTTATAATGGAGGAATATGACATAAATTTTTTATTTCTGTTCTGTTACCATGAGCAGACTGCACCTGCGGGCAATGACATGCGTACTTACACCTTTTTTAGTTTCTTTTAACAAATCAACCTAATGCAGTAGAATTTAGATATACAAGGCATTAACCCCATAAACAAACAGAAGCATAACTTTAAATTTTTAAAAAAAAATCTAACAATGTTTCATTTTTCCATAGTTTTAAGATCTTATAATTCATCATCTATGATACAAGCCCATTTATGAGCAAGGTTCCTATTTCATGTGCTCGCTTTTGCGATAACTGTTGGAACTTGTATGTTTGAATTTGCAGGGCGAAGTAGGATTCCTCAGGATCATCTTGTAGAATGCTTCTTCTTCGTCTTCAGTTGCAGCGGATTAATTTAAAAGCCAGTTGTACAAATAAACGCGGCGCTCGACAGGAACGAAAGCAGAGCTGTGTGGGTCCATTTGATATGTTCTTGATGAGAATGAATGTTCCATGCTTATGTAATTTTTACTTTCAATCCTCAAGCTTTGGCTGTTAGATTTGCTTCGTCATCCTCCGGTCTGAAGGCGTGCGAACTTGATCGAGCCAACGAGATCAATGAGATGGACCGTGGGAGCAAAATGTATGTTTCAAGATTGGAAAATTCCGTCGTGTGCTTCGAGTTCATGAACAAAATTTATGGCAGAATCAGAAGCACAAGCATGATTGGGTTTTGATTGACCATCTTTTCTCAGTTCTCGCACAAACTGTCACCGTACCTTTATACGTGCTCTACCTTTTAATTTTGCAAGGGGGCAATACGTACGGACCGATGTATTCCATTATTGTCTTTGTCGGCAAAAGTACAAAATTGGTATTTTTATTCGTCCCTCTTTGTCAGTTTGGTATATTTAAAAAACCCGGCGACAACAAGGTATTTTGTTACCATTCTATTTACCGGTAAGACACTTTTTTCAAAATTCCGGTCGTTATCTTCCAAAATTATTAAATATGTCCAAAATTATCAAAAAAAAAGCATCCCCTCCCTCTCCCTCTCCTCCTCCTCCCCCACCTCCCCTTCCCCCTCCAACTCCACCTCTCTCCGTTCTGCTTCCTCCTCCTCCGTCACTCTCATCCCCACCACGATCCTCGTCTTCCCCGAGCAACCTGTCATCACCTCCTCCTCATCGTACCCCTCCCTCTCCTTCCCCCTCCTCCCCTCCCTCTTCTCCTCCTGTCGGATTTTTCAAGGAAAATGGTGTGAATTTAATGATTTTGAGAGGTTAGGAAGGTAGAATAAATTTTTCTGCCGGAATTTTAAGGAAAAAAGATCTTATAGGTAAGCAGGGTCTTAATAAAATGCCTTGTTGTCGTCGGATCTTTTAATATACCAAACTGACAAAGAGGGCCGAATAAAAATACAAATTTGGTAAATTGGCCTGTCTTTGTCCAGACTGTTGACATGCCACCCTCCACAATTATTATTCCTTGAGAGTGTCTTCGACAATTATTGCATTCGGTAGGTTATCTGTTTCGGAGCTTGATATTGTCGTGGCTAAAAAACAATATAATATTTTCAGTAGCGAGGGGGGATGGGGTAGCTCGAAAAAGTGCTAGGAAATTTCTAGAGAGGATTACGCTACGCAAGGAATATTTTCTTTCCTTTTTCTCCCTCGAAAGAGGTTCACACTTTGGACCAGGACTTCGGTTGAGCAGCATCATGTAATCGTGTTTTGTTTTAAATTTAGGATGAGGTGATTTCATTAGAATTTTTGCGAGCGTAGCTGTGGCAAATCATGTATGTAACAAATTTTTTTTTTTTCAGCTTTCTATTTTCTTTCGGTAGTCACTACGGGGCTGTTTGTTTGCTAAAAAAAAAAGATAGAAATGGAGGATTTGAAATCTGACCCCTTAGCCACATAGGATTTTAATTTCTAGACATTTCCGTTGCCAGCGTTTGGTTCGCTGGTTGATTTAAAGAAATGAGGGTGCCACGTCAGATCTTGTAGAAAACCCATTTTAGTCCAAAAATGGCTAAAAAAAATGGGTGAAAAATATCACATCGTTGAATATTTAATTGCTAGGTTCACTGTTGAAACGACGACGGGAAGGTAAATGGTGATATTTAATGTCCTGTTGATGAATATTTAATTAGAAAACTCATTTGATTCCTTATCTTTTTTGGATGTTCAAACAAAACCAAGAAATGAGAAACAATGTTTTTCAGCATATGGCTTCAATGCGAAACAAACCAAATAAGTCAGATGGGGGAAACCCTATCCAGAAATGGTTTTCAAACCTTTTTTTTTTTTTTTTTTTTTTTTTGAAATGTACCAAACAGACCNCGCGGCGATACGCTGTCTCCTCTTCACTCTTCTCGAATTTGAAAACCGACGCAATCCCCCAAAACGGGGGGCCCACCGCAAGATGAGGGTGGGCCCCGCCCCCAGAAAATATCTAGTTGCCGTCTCCCTGTAGAGATTTTTATATGACCCCCCCATTCTCTCTCTCTCCCTCTCTCTCTATTCTCCAAGATCCAATCTTTCTCCAAGATCCGATCTTTCTTCGATTTTCCCCTAAATTATCTTAAAAACCCTTCGAAAAAAGAGCAATGAGGGAGATCATTAGCATTCACATCGGCCAAGCAGGGATCCAAGTGGGAAATTCTTGCTGGGAACTGTACTGCTTGGAGCATGGAATCCAGCCTGATGGCCTCATGCCCAGGTTCCTTTTTCTTCTTCTTTTTTATTTATTTTTTCAAATTTTCTATAAGTTCAAGCTCATTTAATAATACCCATCTGCTTAATTCTGTAAAAAAAAGACATTTTTGATTGGATCTGGGGTTTTCCTTGAATTTGCGGTGATACAACAGTGATATCATATTTTTGCTGTTTGTTTGAATTTGCTGAACAGTTTTCCCGTAAGTTTTGAAGTTTATTTAAGAATGCCCATCTGCTTGTTTCTGTATATAAAAAAAAACCTATTTTTTAATTGAATCTGGGGGGTTTCCCTTAAATTATGCAGTGACACAACGATAATGAAAATTGTTGTACGACTTTTCCTTAATTTGAAGCTAATTTAAGAAACCCCATCTTCTTGATTCAGTTAAAAAAAACCCCATTTTAATTGAAACTTGGGTGAATTGTACAGTGATTCGACAGTGGGATCTTCCCATGATGCATTCAACACATTCTTCAGTGAGACAAGCTCAGGAAAGCATGTACCAAGAGCTATTTTCCTAGATCTCGAGCCTACCGTCATCGATGAGGTCAGAACCGGAACTTATCGGCAATTGTTTCATCCTGAGCAGCTTATCTCAGGGAAAGAAGATGCTGCTAATAATTTTGCAAGAGGGCATTACACTGGTAATTGACTTTCCATTGAAATTGAAGTGATTTTGTGTGATTTTGGTTGATGATTGATGTTGTTATGGTTTGTAGTTGGGAAGGAGATCGTGGATCTGTGCTTGGATCGAGTGAGGAAGTTGGCGGATAATTGTACTGGGTTGCAGGGATTTATGGTTTTTAATGCTGTTGGAGGTGGAACTGGATCTGGGCTGGGGTCGCTTTTGCTTGAGAGATTGTCTGTCGATTATGGGAAGAAGTCGAAGCTTGGGTTTACCATTTATCCCTCTCCTCAGGTATAGTTCCATAAAATCTTTGTTTTTGTTTGAATGTGTTTTATGTGTATAAGACCTAGATTGTCAATGCCGCTAGAATTTTGCTCTGTTAGAGATCTAAAAATCCTACTTGTGTTTTGAAATGGAATCGTCACTTCTATCCTATGTGCATCTCGAATGCTATAATCTGATGGTTTACTTATATGAGTTCTTTTTGGTGGCTACAAGCTTACAGATGTACATCACTTATGATTCTCAGATGTCTTAGAAGAATGCAATTAATTCAATTTGAATCCTGCTATCTATGCATAGATTATCCCTCTTTTCAGGTGTTTTTGCCATCTTGGAACTTACAAATGTAGTATTTTGAATGTTCTTGTTTTTGTTTGATTCCATGGCATGATATCCTATGTCAATTGAAAGATCTTGATCATCAATGTTACTAGAAGTTATGCTTTGTTAATCACAAACGTACTGAGAGAAGCGGTAGGTTATGTTTTGAATGAAATTGTGACTTATGATTCTGTGTTATTACAAGTTACAACAATGCTATTGAATCAACGAGTCTTTAGATCTATGTTTGGATTTACCTCTTTGAATTTTTATTGGCTTGTACATGTGTGCACATGATTGGTGTCTGATATTTGAGTTGTAGTTTATTTAAGAATTTTCAACTCCAGTGGTCATTATCTCAGACAAGATTGTAACTTTTGACATTCTTCTTATGTTTAGCCTGTAAATTTTAAAATGTAAGGTGTTTTAGGACACTGAAGGATCAAGAAATTTATACATTAAACATGCGAGACTCTTTTAAGTTTTCCCAATAATTGCAGTTTATGATCATTATACCTCCTATGCTTGCTGATAATTGTTTTTTGAACATCATAATCCTTGGCTTATCTTCCACATTTTCATTTGAATACAGGTTTCTACAGCAGTTGTGGAGCCTTACAACAGCGTTCTCTCCACTCATTCCTTACTTGAACACACAGATGTCGCAGTTCTCCTCGACAACGAAGCCATCTACGACATCTGCAGGAAATCCCTAGACATCGAGAGACCAACATACACAAACCTTAACCGTTTAATTTCCCAAGTCATATCCTCTCTCACTACTTCTCTAAGATTTGATGGAGCCATCAATGTCGATGTCACAGAATTCCAAACAAATCTCGTACCTTATCCAAGAATCCATTTCATGCTCTCTTCATATGCACCTGTGATTTCTGCGGAGAAAGCTTATCATGAGCAGCTCTCTGTGCCTGAGATCACTAGTGCTGTTTTTGAGCCGGCTAGTATGATGGCTAAGTGTGATCCTAGGCATGGGAAGTACATGGCTTGTTGCTTGATGTATCGGGGTGATGTTGTGCCTAAGGATGTTAATGCTGCGGTGGCGACGATTAAGACGAAGAGGACGATCCAATTTGTCGATTGGTAAGTTTCGGATATGATATTTCGTTCTATGCAATTTTTGGAATATGGCTATTTCACATCATGTCGTTATCTTAGCGATTGAATGGATTCAACATAGTCATTTTGGCTGATTGACGACTCATGATATCAAACTCATACCTGACACAGATTTGAACAAGTTACTTTTATCCAATCCTGTTACTAGTCTATGACCCTGGTAACCCATTTAGTAGGGGTCTAATTTGATGCTTATGGCAATATTTGAATCAGGCACAACATTTAAGAGGCTTAGAAATTGAACATTCTTCACTAATTCGTAGGTTCATGTACAAATGATTGAATATATTAGATATCCATTGAATGGTTGAGTCCTATCAGGTAAACCAAGAGGCTAGACTTAGATCCAACCTGTTCAATAAGTGGTTTATCTGGATTGATTCAGTTACGCCCTAACCCCAATAATAGCTGACCCATATTGGCTGCCTTGCGTTGACGTCAGGTTACCGGGTCTGGCTGAAATTGTCTAACCAACTTCCTTTAACTAATATAATAACAACCGTAAAGCCATTATCTCAAATGTTTGGGTCTGTTGCATGAATCCTAGTCTTCTTTTCATTTCTAGTTTCTATTACGAGTCATCTTCTCCGTTAACTGTTATCATATCATTCTTAATTGTTTCTAAACAAGTTCTTTTAGGTTTAACCCTAGTCGGCTTTGCAGTATTAGCTATAGTGTCATCAATTCTCCTAATTGGTCTATTTACTTGCCTCTTTTGTACATAGCTAAACTATCTCAAACTATTTCTCTTACTCAATGGGAGCAACCTCTATCCTATAAATGCACTCATTTGTTATTCTGTCTTTTGGTGTATATCCACAAAGCCATCTTAACATTCTCATTTCTACCACATTTTTTTGCCCGCCTTGTTTTAGTGCATATCCACAACCACTTCTTGTAACTTATAATCCCTTTTAGGCTTCTTGAACTTCAATCAATTGACCTCATTCATCTCTCTCATAGGTGTCCCACTGGTTTCAAGTGTGGAATCAACTACCAACCACCAACAGTTGTCCCAGGTGGCGATCTAGCCAAGGTCCAACGCGCAGTTTGCATGATAAGCAACAACACGGCGGTGGCTGAGGTCTTCTCGCGAATCGACCACAAGTTCGATCTCATGTACGCCAAGCGAGCTTTCGTTCACTGGTACGTCGGCGAAGGAATGGAGGAAGGAGAGTTCTCAGAGGCTCGAGAGGATCTCGCGGCCCTTGAGAAGGATTACGAGGAGGTCGGAGCCGAAGGAGCAGAGGATGATGGTGATGAGGGAGAGGATTACTGAGGTTGGAGTTGTTGTCGGTTCATGGTTAGTATTGAGGTTACGATGCTGGTTGTTGTATATCATCTGCTCTCGGTATGGATTTTTATGTAGTGTTGTGTCTCGTTGAAATGTATTTTTATTTCCTAATGTTGGTACTACTTTGTATTCAGCTTTTAATTGAGAAGATTATTGAGTTTCTTCGGAATTTTTATAAGTGCAAATTGTTTCTTCTGTGTATAGCATGGACCCTCTCCATGGAATTTCTTTAGTGTCGTTTGTTGCGTTGTATCAGCTTCCTGTTGATTGTACTTTTGTGTTCAGCTTTTAATTGGGGGCTTATCTGCTTATTTGATTGGGTTCTCGGCGATTTAGTTCTTTTACTTGGTTAAATCATTGATATCAGAATCTTCATAGGAGCATAGTTGATAATGATAAGTCTCATCCATCACTCATTTGGAAGAAATCAATTCATTCCATCTCTTTTGCCGATGGGAACGTGGATTTTGGGGAGAAAAATAAAGAGCCTCCGAAGAGAACAGACTAGCGTAAGCTACTAATTGAGGGTCAAAATATGGCAAAAATCTCTAAAGATGTAGCTTATCCTTATTCCCTTAGTAGGGGTAGAGTGACAAATGACCGAAGAGGGTCTCGCTAAGTTGGTAAACTATCTTTGAGTAGTACTTTAATATCTCAAAAGACCAAAAAGGGTCTTGCTAAGTTGGTAAGCTAGTTTTGAGCAGTACTTCAATATCTCAAGTTCTACTCTACTAGAAAGCATCTGCATGACTTAATTTTCTAAAATACCTGAGGCTGTGGATTGAGGGGCGATACTGGGGTGGTAATTTATGATCCGACCTGCTGATCCGACCCGATTTGACCCGTTATAAATGGGTGTGGCTCACTTTATATGGGCTGGGTCATAAATGGGTTGACCCAAAAAACCTATTTATTAATCGGGTCATAAACGGGTGAACTCGCGTACTCGTTCAACCCATATACCATTCAATCCTTAACATTTAAAATGCATAAAAACACACCCATAAAATATCGATACTTGTGAACACTATAAAATCTATAAACTACATTCAATATTGTGACAATTTTGCAATTTGCAAAAGAACACCATCAGTAGCTTAAAAATTAAAAAACATCCTCAAAAGTTAAAAATTTACCAAAAAGCATGAGAATATCAAAAATTACAAAACAGAACAAAAAACTACAAATTATAAACATCACAATGAAAATTTTAAAATTTGCGGAGAAAACCCTAAAGTTTCAAAAACTACAAAATACACCCTCAGAAAGTTATATTTATGAAAACATACCCTAGAAATATCAAAATCTGCAAATAGTACAAAATTTAAAACTTATCAACAACACCATGAAAATTTTAAACTTTGCAAAAAACATGCTGATAGTATCAAAATTGCAAAAACCACTCTGAATAAGTCAAAATTTTACAAAAATGCACCTCAGATAATAAAATTTAAAATCACTATATAACTTATAAATAGCACCATGAAATTTTGAAATTTGTAAGAAACACCTTGATAATTTCAAAAGTTACAAAAAGCACCCAAAATAAGTCAAATTTTTAAAAAACTGCAAATATGAAACTTGCGTACTTTGAAAATGTATAATCTATAAATAACAAAAACACACTGAAAGTTTTGAATTTTGCAAAAAAAACAACCTAAATATTTTAAAAATTACAAAATACATGCTCAAAAGTCAAACTTCTACAATAGCACGCCCTGAAAATACCAGAACTTACAAAAGATATAATATCTATATAACCTATAAGCAACACAATGAAATTTTTAAAATTTTTAGAAAATTGTAAAATACACCCTCAAAAAGTTAAAACTATTATAGAAACATGCATCAGAATTCAGAAACAATAAAATATAAACAATGCAAAATTAATAAGTTACAAACAACACCATAAAATTTAAAATTTATAGAAAACACCTTTAAAGTTTCAAAATTACAAAATACACCGTAAGAAGTCAAATTTTATAGAAGCACACCACATAAATATCAAAACTTCTAAATAGTACATAATCTATAACTTATGAACAGAAACATGAAGATTTTAAATTTTACAAAGAACTCCCTAAAAATTTAAATTTGTAAAATACAGCCTAAAAAGTCCAAGTTTACAGAAATACATGCCCAAAATATAAAAACTTATAAGCCGTACAAAATCTATAGCTTATAAACAACAGCATGAAAATTTTGGTATTTGCAAAAAATACCCTAAAAGATTCAAAAAATATTTAAAAAAAAACCGTAAAATTCAAATTTTAAAAAACACTAAAAAGTCAAAACTGGTATAATGTTCATATTATAAAATTTCTACTGAGAAAATGATATTTGCAGAAAATAGCCTAGAACTTTTTAATTTTATAAAAAAAACTCCATCAAAATTCTTACAAAAAACACCCTAAAAGTATCTAAACGTCTAAATAGTACAAAATGTATGAATGATAAATAGGACCATTGAACTTTATGTTAAATACATAAAAATTATAAAACAATTAAATGGGTCACTTAGGTCAATTGGTAATCCATTTAATATTTAAATGGGTTAACCCGATCATTTGATGATTTAGCTCCGGTCAATATTATACAGGCCGGGTTAAAATTTATATGGGTTGGGTCTAGTTGGGTCGACTCATTTGCCATCCTCAAGATGAACCTTAACCACTCCCAGGGGTTTGATACCCACAGTCTTAAGGATCGTGTGAGAATTTCCCTGC